GGCAATCTTTTCCAGAACAGTCCTGTTTCATCATAATTAAACACCTGTTGCGGTAGGTATCCCTCAGCCTCTGCAAACTCTTTAAATTCTTCAATAAATTTTTCAGCCGCTGGTTTGTCTGAGCTGGCAGCCTCCCCATGCCTCACAACACTATGAATACCGCTTCTTTTTCTAAATTTCTCAAACCATACCCTGCTTGCCTTAAAGTCTGTCGTGTCTGCACTCGTTCCAGGGGTTTTCTTTACAAGGTCTTCGTGCAATACCCTGGCTTTCTCACAAATGATGGCCTCTGAAACACTATTACCCGCTAACTCCTTGTTGTATATCCAAATTAGTAACAACTTTTCCACTTCCTCAAGTATTTGTGGTCTTTATTTCATGATGGTTGATACTCCTTTTGCCACTTTAGCACTCATAATGTCCTTTTCCTTGGCAAGTATAGTGCATATCGTTGACGTGGATTTGTTGCACTGCCTACAAAGTTCAACAACACGTGCACCATTTTCATGCTTCCGAATGATCTCTTGCTTTTCCTCTATTGTCATCCTCACATGCGATTTCTTGCCTTGAACCTTACCACTGGCTTTCTTGGGACCCATTGTGGTTTGACCCATTGACCCAGTATATTATAACAAATTTTATCAATTTGTTGTGTAGACTGCTTATATCAATGCTTTCTTCATTAAAACCCAAAAAATCTAGCTCTGTTTTGTTTTCCTTCTTGCCGGTGGCCATCTTGAATGTTGTTGTCTGCTCTGTTAACACTAGGGCAACTTTTTCTCATCCAATTGTTTTTACTTCACTTAGCCACATTTGTGTTATCTCGCCTATTTTTTTAACCCTTAAACTGCGCAACGCGCCTGCAGGCTCACGTCTGGTTTGCGCAACGTGCCTCCGGGTATTTGTATTTTTCACGTTCCAGTCAAAACTCCCGCGGCTACATGGGGTTCACATCAGCTTCCTCAGGGCTCTTGTAAACAGACGCCATCTTTAAAAAAAATCATGGTCCACATTCCCGGGTGTGGGAGCCTCAGTAGTGTGTGAGCAACCAAGGCTGGCGCTCGCAGCATGAGCGCACAGCACTGCTGTTCAGCATGTGACCACAGCATCGTCTAATAATGTCAAAATATATATATAACTTGTATTATTTAGCTATGATAGTGTTATATTAGAGCCTGAGTGTGATAATGACTGGGTACAATGTTCAAATATCAGTGATTCAATGCTGTTCACGATGTTCACAGCGCTAGCCACAGCACCACAGCATTATTTCGTTCAGCTAGGAATCTTCAAATGATTTCTTAGGTTCCTTTTCAAAATAAACGTGTGGTCAATTATTAATTTACAGGAATTAGTGACCAGGATTGTGATAATAGCAGGATTGTGGTTATAATTAGCGTTGAGCGTAGTATTGTGGAAGGAGGAATTTTGATGAGGGAGGATCGAGGGCGAGAACTGAGGTAGCCTCATTGTGTGTGTGTGGCTGCCACTCTTGTTTTGCTCACCATACTAGCTTAGTGGTTCGCTATGGGCAACACACATGTGCATGGGTATATATATTGTGTGTATATAGTGTAAGAACAGCAACAGGAGAATGTTGAGAGGAGCTATTTTGGTGAGGGAGGTGACGTAATCGTAGCGTCGTCTGCTGTGTGATTTTTCATGCAGTGTATGCAAAGCACAAAACATTTATCTTCCTTGGGACACCACTCACTATCATCAACCTGTACTACAATACTTAGGAATTGTATGAAGTATGAGGTAATATGAATTGTATGAGGTGATGCAGTGTCTGAATGTGCCTCAAATACTCATGCTCAGTACAAACAACCATGTCCTCAAACTAATTCCCAAGAAGTCACTAACATAGTAAATGCGTGGAGAATACCATTACTGGCGCACAACCATCCCAGAACCAAGAGTACTGGTTGGCACGCAAATCCCAAGACATTCAAGTAACTGTATTCAGACCCACAAGAAACATCCACTAATAACATAAGCCCACCGCTCAACAAGACACAAGTTTCCAAGAATAAACCCAAGTCTTATTGCTACCACCATGTGGTAGCAATAAGCTACTTATTGCTACTTATCGTAATCATAGTCGTCTCTGACTCGCGAGGGTGGTGGGTCATAGTCGTCCCGTACCCTGGACGATGAAGGAGGGTCTTATTCTTTCCTACCTCTGGACACAGATGAGTCGTATTCATCCCTCACTCACAAAGAGGACTCATATTCGAGTCCTCCGAGTCCAAACAATAGCGTTTTTTAGCAGTCTGTCATGCAAAATAGAGGTAATTCTGGAGTCACTAAGTGTTCTCCAGTCTCTCTCTTGTAACAATACAATCTAAAAGTGACATTTGAAGAGATCCCTTCTATGTCAGTGACAGGGCCTTACCTAAGAGAGCAACCAAGTGATATAGAAAAGAAATATAACCAACTTGCTTGGAGTTAATGAATTCCTCACGGTTATCCACTGCAACAATGCACTTAGACCATAACATTACTGTAATAGTGCCATGGATGGTTCTCAGACATTTTAGCAGTAATGGTTTGCCACAATACCTTCATATGTGTGGAATGCAGAAGGAAGACAGGTTATTCTGAATAATTTTAGCCTCCTTTTTACCTATAATTCACCACACTTAATTATTTTAACACTCTTTTGTATTAATTTTAGTTTGTTTTTTCCACCATTAGTCATTTACTGTGTCACTTGATTTCAACTTATAATTATAATCTTGAAGGTTACATGTAAAAAGACTTCAATCACCTTCAGTAGCAGAGTATTCAGTAACTCGCTACTTATTGCATCTTATTTATGTAATTCTGTTCATGGAAGACAAAACTTTCTCCAGTACACTATATGCTGTTAGCACTAAAAACCTACATCTGTGGTTGAAAATTAATCATTATCAATAATTTTAATTTAATTAATCATTTAATTGTTATGATGCAGTGCAGAATGCATAGATAATTCTTCTTGCATACATGAATGCATAGAAAATTCTTCTTGCATACATGAATGCATAGATAATTCTTCTTGCATACATGAATGCATAGATAATTCTTCTTGCATACATGAATGCATAGATAATTCTTCTTGCATACATGAATGCATAGATAATTCTTCTTGCATACATGAATGCATAGATAATTCTTCTTGCATACATGAATGCATAGATAATTCTTCTTGCATACATGAATGCATAGAAAATTTATAGATAATGGGAAACAACAACCAGCTATTATTATTATTTTGCTAAAGCCTTTGATAAGGTACCACATGAAAGACTGGCAACAAAATTAGAGGCCACTGGAATATATGGCAAGATACTAGAATGGATAAATAAATGGTTGAAACAAAGGGTTATGATAAATGGGAATGAATCTGACATACTCCACAAATAATCAGAAGACTGGCAAATGCATTTTAATATCAACAAACAGAAGATTTTGCATGTGGGGCATAGCAACCCACGCCACAACTACCAAATTAATAACATTCTACTACATTAGAGTGATGAAGAAAATGACCTTGGAGTCAAAATCCCCACTCAATGAAAGTTGCACAACAGCCGGGAGCAGCAATCAGAAAACCTAACCAAACCCTTGGAATAATGAAGCGTACCTTTGACTTTAAGGAAAAGAAAGTAATGATTCAGCTGAATAAATCTTTGGTGCACCTGAGGGAATACTGTACCGACAACATATACGCCATATATCGGGCAGTCCCTGTGGTGTAGTGGTCAAAACACTTGCCTGGCCCGAAATGCTATGCGTGCTAGTGGCTGTACAAGAATATAAGAACTCTTGTATATTAATAAAAAAAAATAAAAAAAATGACATACAACATATACGACACAAAAAGCACCTAAATTATTGGGATCATCTCAAAACTCTCCAAATGTGCTCCCTAGAAAGGAGAAGAGAGAATTATAAACCAACATACACACAGAAAATACTGGAGGGCCAGGTTCCAAATCTACACAGTAAAACAACAACATACTGCAGTGAATGATATATAAGAAAATGCAGAATAGAACCAGTGAGGAGCAGGGGTGCCATAGGCACAATCAGGACAATGTATGAACATCAGAGGTCCACGGTTGTTCAACATCTTCCTAGTGAGTACAAGAAATATTGCCAAAACAAATTTGGATGCCTACAAGAGAAAACTAGATAGTTTTCTTCAAGAAGTGCCAGACCAACCAGGTTGTGATGTATATGTGGGTCTGTGGGCCGCTCCAAGCAACAGCCTGTTGGGCCAAACTCTCACAAGTCAAGCCTAGCCCTGGGCTGGGCTTAGGGTGTAGAACTCCCAGAATCCCATCCAGTTACAATCCAGGCCCCCATTTGGATTACTGTATACAAGCATGGACACTTCATCTTCAGGAAGACATAACTGCTCTGGAGAAAGTGCAACAGAGGGCCAAAAAAAATAATAATTCCAGAGCCAAGTCGTCTCTCGTATCTGGAATGGTTGAGGGCCACAGGGCTAACAATACTACAAACCAAGCATGACAGGGCGGATCTCATTGAAACTTTTAAAATACTGAGCAAGTTGGAGAATGTTGATCAGGAAAATTCCTTCAGGTCAGATGTAACACAAACTAGGAGCAACGTTTTAAAGCTAAACCTTCCACAATGTTGGACTGAGAACAGGAGATGCTTTTTTACCCACAGTGTTATAAACCCATGGAACTGCCTACCCACTGAAGCTGTAAATGTCAAAACTCTGTTACACTTTAATTCCAACAGGTAAAGGTCATCAAGGGAAAATAGGGGGGGGGGGGGACCTTCAACAGGCCGTCGGCTTCCTGTCCTCGTCGAGGCCACTAGTGTAAGTGGCCCTCAGGATAATTCAGGTAAATGAGTAATGTGCATTACATAAAGCCACTAACATGCAGTTTTGTGAATACCAAAACAAAATTACTGAAAATACAAATGGATTTAACTTCAAAACTTTCACTGTTGTTTCCATTACAGATATTACTTACCTTCAGATTTGAGAACATTGGAGATGTTTTCATTACTGGTGAGAGACTGGAAGATGTCTCCAGGCTCTGGTGACCACGATGACACTGGTTCCATGTCATCCAAAGCCAGTGGAAGCTAGAAAAAAAATACAACTTTTACAACCTTATACAATTTTTAATTAATTTAAACCTTGCTCTATAGTCAAAATAAGCTTGCAAGAACAGTATACAAAATATCAATGTGTGATCTATTATATGTCCTCGGGAAAGATCTCCTTAATATTTTCAGACATACCAGAGCAGAACTAACTTGGTATTAGATGTGAAATAGGTACAGTACTTGGAGCATACCTGGAGAGGGTTCTGGGAGGTCTTCTACTCCCCAAGTCCAGCCTGAGGCCAAGCTCAACTTATGATAACTTGGTCCAACAGGCTGTTGCTTGGGGTGGTATGCAGGCCCACATATTCACTGCAGCCTACAGCCTGGTTGGTCTGGCACTTCTTGCAAGAACATTTCTAAGTGCCTCTTGAATACATCCACCTTTGTTCCAGCAATATTCTTAATGCTTGCTGGGAGGGTGTTGAACAGCTATGGACCTCTGAAGTTCAGTGTTCTCTGATTGTGCCTATGGCACCTCTACTTTTCTCTGATTCTATTCTGCATTTCCTTCCATATCTTTTGTTCCAATATGTTGTTACTCTACTGTGCAAATTTGAGACCTGGTTTTTCAAGCATCTTCCATGTACTGTATATATTATTTAATACCTTTCTTGTTTTCCTTCCAAAGCGTACATTTTGAGAGCTTTGAGACGGTCCCAATAATTTTGATGTTTTATCGTTTCTATGCATGCCGTACATGTTCTCTGTATTCCTTCTAATTCAGAGACCTCTCCTGCTCTGAAAGGGGAAATGAGTACCGAGTAATACTCTAAGACGGGACAGCACCAGTGGTTTAAGTAGTACAGAGGAACCTCGGGTGACGAGCAGCTCCATCTGCGAGCATTTCAGGTAACGAGGGAGACACTCGCAGAAAATTTGTCTCGATTGACAAGCTTCCGCTCGATTAACAAGAAAACCACATGATACTTCCTAGCATTCCCACTGGTTCTCGCAAATTCTCAAGATGCCTCCAACATCTGACAAATTCGTTTCGCAAGACGAGCGTTTCACATGTCGAGCTCAGTGCTGGAACGGATTAAATTCGTTTTCCGAGGCACCACTGTATTAGCATTGCTATAGGGTCTCTGGATTTGAATGTTCTCATAATCCAAACTATCATTTTCCTGGTCGCCGCTCTATTTGCTCAGTTATGTTCAGTAAATGTCAGGTTGTCAGAAATCATAATTACCAGGTCTTTTACACATTGCTTTCCTTCTATGAGTAGTGTTCTGTATCCTGTGTTTCATTTAAATTCTTCATTTCCACCATACCTAAGTATCTGGAACTTGTCACCATTAAGCATTGGATTGTGCCGGCCTAGAAACTTGGTTGGTGGGAAACAGCGCAAGTCAAGAAAACTCATTTTGAATATTTTGTACCCATTCAAAACATGCGCGCAGTAGGTTGTGTACGGAATGGATTCTTGGATACCTCCAGTGAGAGGTACGGAATGGATTCTTGGGATACCTCCAGTGAGAGGTATCCATCTTTGAAAAAATTCCCAGAATGTCCTAGGGTTGCTGGCTGGCTCAGTTCAGAGTGAGCAACCACGGGTGGCGCACACGCCTCTGGCTCCCAAACACCGTCCAGACGCAGTGTTGAAAAATTGCTCTGTTGGTAAAATTTAGACCTTATTGTTCGAAGAACATAAGGGTCATGATATTGATGAAGCTAACCACAATAAGGACCTAACACAAGGGTCAGATGCAAATGATACAGCAAGGTGTATCCAGTTGTAGCCGAGCGCCACCCATGCTCACCCATGTTATCTCCAATTTTTTATAGATGATACATAGATGAATCTTTCTGGGGTTCAGTGATGATGCATCTGATACAAGTAGCATAGATGATCAGTGTTAGCAGCTTCCATGGTGGTGATTTCCATAGATCTTTTCAAGAATGGCTGAATCTCTTCCAGAATAACTTACAAAGTTATCTTTTCAAAACTACCTTACAAACTGATCTTTTCCTTTACAATAATCTATTCAAGACTATCTTACACTTTACAAGCTTGGCTACATACCACCTACAGGTACTAAAGCCAAGGGTGTATGTGAGTATTATTTGCAAGCACACAGAACGAAGAAATAGGAAGCGAAAATCTGTTTGTACTTGGTGCATCGAGAGCGAAGTCGCGCTGTGTACCATGGACTGCTTTGTTGATTATCACTCACTTCTGTAGTACTGAGTGTGTAATACAGTGTGTGACTGTGTAAATAGTGTGAAACTGTACATATTGTAATTTTAGTGAATTTTGAACAAGTAATATTGTGACAAACATTTCTTGTGGACACATTACTAACACATGTATCACAGTTCCATGGAACATTATAAACGTTCTACTGCATACATATTGTAAAGGGCACAAATATGCATCATATACAATAAAAAAAAAAAATGAAAATACATAAGACAAATAACTGAAATATATTTGTGGCAACTCGCGATGCTTGAATGGCCTGCGCGACAGCCTTTGGTAGCTTCGCGCACAGCCAATGATGACGTCACACAGCCAAAGTGGAATTTTTTATTTTTTTTACATGTACATATTCAGGGAAGGAAATTTATCATTTTACAAAGATCAAAAAATTTTTGGCGAACACTTGATTTTATACGGACAGGGGGGGGGGGGGAATGTCACAAACTTGACGCATCACCGAGGTTAAAATACTGAGCAATTTGGAGGATGTCAGTCAGGTCAATTTCTTCAAAAAGTAAGATGTAACACAAACGAGGAGTAACAGGCTCAACAAACCACAATGTAGGACAGAAAACAGATGCTTTTTCACCTATAGGGTTTTAAACCCAGTGAACCGCCTACCTGCTGAAGCCGTAAAGGCCAAAACTCTACTTGGTTTTAAAATTCAGCTGGAAAGGATCATCAGGGCAAATGGGGAGGCCTTTGACAAGCCACCCGCTTCCTGTCCTCATCGAGGCCACTAGTATTAGTGGCCCTTAGATAAATTCAGGTAAATGTAAAGTTTTGTGAAATATATGATAAAGGCACAAAAATATTTATACAAAAGCAGAGATTCAGAACTAGGAAACAAGATTGGTTCAACAGAAATTGCGAGAGGGCCAGAGACCAAAAGACACCAAAATGGAATCAATATAGGAAGAGGGCCAAACCCTCCAAACATAACAGCGATACAAAGATGCGAGAACCACCTACACAGCAGTGAGGAGAGAGGCAGAAAATAGCTGACAAATGTAAAACAGAACCAAGCCTATTCTACAGATTCAACAACAAATTGCAGATAAAGAATAATAATCAGAGGCTGAAAATGGCAAACAGATTCCCAGAAAATGAAAAGGAAATGTGTGAAACATTAAATGAAAAGTTCCAGTGTTTGTACAAAATTAAATCTTCAGTGTACCAGACACAATAAGAATTCCAGAGAACAAAATAAGAGCACATAGAGGTGTCTAGAGATGAAGATAAAAAAAAATGCTCAAGGAGCTAAGTAAGAACCACGCAGTTGGCCCAGATGGAGATTCATCATGGGTTCTGAGAGAATGTGCACCTGAGCTCAGCATTCCACTTAAACTGATTTTTCAGGGAACCCTGTGTACAGGAGTCCTAGCAAATGTATGGAAAAAGGCTAACATAGTTCCAATCTATAAAAGTGGCAGCTGGGAAGACTCCCTCAATTGTAGACCTGTATCATTGACAACTGTAATAGTCAAAATATTGGAAAAAATAATTAAAACTAAATGGGAAGAACACTTTGAGAAAAACTATATAATAACAGACAGTATGGTTTTCGATCTGGAAGATCCTGTGTAATTTCCTCAGTTTCTTTGATCGAGCAACAGAGATTTTACAGGAAAGAGATGGATGCGTTGACTGCATCTATCTGGACCTAAAAAAACCAGCGTTGAATGTAATGAAACGCCATTTTCTGGGCGAGACCCGGAGGCTCCCCGGAGCTTTACCGGCTGATATGCTAATGTCAGACTTTGGCATCAGTCATGTGTATGGAGTTCTAGGGCCTACCGGGGACCACGAGCCAGAACCTGGCCCCCTCAGAGAGGCAAGGGGAGCAATGGCCTATAGAAACTCCTGTGTGGTTGGAAGCATTCTATGTCTGCCATCGACCGGGTCAAGCATCCAGAAAGGTAAGCATTCCAAAACAAACCCCTATTCTGGTGAAAATTGCTACCTAAGCCGAACTAGTGGATAGAACTCTTCAACAGAAAACAAGGAAACTAGTATGACGTCATACGTCACCGCGCCGCTGTCTGCGCAGCTCCCCCCTCCCCGGGAGGGGGAAGGGGGAGCCCCAGACCTCCCACGCCGGCTATCCACCCATCAGTTCTGAGGCTGGATGTCAAAACACGCGAAAAACGCCGACCGGAGGGAGGGAGGGTTGCCGGGGAGCCTCCGGGTCTCACCCAGAAAATGGCGTTTCATTACATTCAACGCTGGTTTTCTGGGGGGAGCCCCGTCGGCTCCCCGGAGCTAACTACCCACAGAGGAAGGTCTAAAGGGACAAAACCGGGAGGCGGACACCACGCACCCCCCAAGGAGGCGAGACAACCGGCAGCAAACGCCAACCCAAGGCGCCACAGCCCCGAAAATCCCGGGAACAACACGAGAACCACGAGCAGCAAGGCCACGACGCCCAGACGGCAGCGAGAGCAGCGAAGCCACGAACGCCACAGGCATGAGGGAAGAACACAGGCAGCTTAGCCGCAAGAACACGGCTGACCACCCGGGACACTATCACCCGCGAATCGGGAAGAACAGAACCGGATCAACGCAAAATGCGCTCCGGACCCAAACGCCGTGGCACGCAAACAGCGGAGGGCCGCCACTGAACACAAAAACGACACACCCCCGGCCCGACCAACGAAGCACCAACAAACCCTGGACCCCTCCAGAATGCAGCAGCCCCACCCCGCGCCAGAAAAGATGGAGACTGCTGCCATCAAACAACCAAAACGCTAAAACCGAAGGAGCAAGAAAACACAGC